AGAAAGGCAGAAGGAGATGCTGCCAGCCGCTGCCAGACACTGCCAGGACAAGCAGCATGTGAAGATGCTGGTAAGCCACGAGCCACGTGGCAAGATATAGATTTGTAGAAATGCATTACTTTAAGATATAGGAACAGTTAACAGGAGGCCTGCCACGGCCATACAGTTTGTAAGCAATATAAGTCTCTGTGTTTGCTTGGTTGGGTCTGAGCGGCTGTGGGATTGGCGGGTGACAGAGATTTGTCCTGACTGTGGGCAAGGCAGGAAAACTCTAGCTACAGGTAGCTGTTCCAGCTTTGACCTGGAAGTACTACCCCCATTGAGGCTTTGGTAACTGTCACGCCTAAAAGGCCGAGCAGAGAGAGGAGCCCTGGAGACCCGAGATTTGGGTGTGTTGACTCCCTTGCTTCCTCCTCCCTGACTGAGCGCCAGATATAGGCTAGAATATTAAGACAACTCCACATAGTTAAAAGGGAGGTTTATTGTATGGGGTAACTTACAAGTGAAGGGATAGGTTACAGGGTCTGGAAAAGGTAAAGTGCAGTCCAGTGGTGTTCTCTGAAGAACTCTACTCAGTCTGTCTCCAGCATCTAGGATCCAGGAACCAAGAGAGCAGACACATCCAGATCTCAGGTCTCCAGGGCTCCTCCCTCAGCTCCACCTTCTAGGTGTAACAGTTACCAAAGCCTCAATGGGGGTAGTACTTCCAGGTCAAAGCTGGAACAGCTACCCACTACACACATGCCAAGACCCCTGTTGAGTGACTAATAGAAACACCCTAAAGGCACACAGCTCTGAAATTGGGAAGACCCAGAACCTAGACATCTTTCCAGTTCCAGTGCAGTTGGAAATCTAACAACAAAAAAAGCAAATAATGTAGTTAGAGGCAGGTTAGTCTTTAATCAATGTTAACAAGGAGGGTGCCATTATGTTCCCTGAAAAACTAAAAATAACTGTCTTGCTTACCCATGAAATATGGACATGTTAGCAGTGATCTGACATACCCATGATTTTCACCAAGCTCTGCACATCTCAAGATGTGTGCAGGAATTTTAAAAAAGAGCTGGGGGAAGGAAAACATGGGATAAGAGTAGATATTGCCTAGGTAAACATAATATGTATGTAATATATAATGATAAATATAATGTACAATAATTGTGATATATACAATACATAATATATGTGTGATATATTATAAAAAAACGTTCTTGTAGAAGTATATGAAGTGCTTAGAAATTTGTCACTGTTTATTGCCAGTCCTGATAGAACATTGCCAGTCCTAATTCTAGTTATTATCTTAAAATACCATGCCAGAGACACAACCAAATTTCCTCAGCAATTACATTATTTCTACAACAAACTCTCCTCAGATCTGTAACCATGGCCATCTTGAACCTTTTCTCACTCATTCTATTTTTGTTTTATTCCAGTGTTCTCTAACAGGTCTTGCAGCCATACAAGCCATAATTTTTCATCTTTAACAAAAGGGACGTGGCAGAGACGCCTAGAAAAGATGCTAATGGGTACACTGGGTACAGGCTTTGATGACAGTGTACCAATAACTTCAAGTTCAACTGTCTGAATGAGGGTTTCTAGAATTCTGGAGAAGCTGAGGCATTTAAAACTATTAACACAAGACTAAGTAGAATGAGGATCAGTTTATAGAGAACTGTGGGAAGAATGATTGTGCGTTTTCTACTTATATTTGCTTGTTTGGAACATTGCTATTCTTTGGTACTCCATTTTCTGGGTACAAGGAGCTTTTTTTTCTTAAGCTCTCTATAATTCATAATAATTTAGTTGATTGTATTTTATGAACAAAAAATAAGTACTTATATGTATTTTTAACCTTCTCAAATAGTCCTATTTTCAAGGCAATATGCTTTTTGCATTTGTTCAGTGGGGATCTTCTCACAAAACAATAAAATTAAGGAGATTGGTTATATTCATAAAGTTTTGACTGGAGTGTCACATTTGAGAATGATGTGCATAGAGACAAATATGACTACACACATAGGAACTGATGCTTATAAAGCCTTTTGACAAAAGTAGCTCAGCACCCCAATAGACTTCTGAGCCTTACAGATAAATAGTGAAAACAATTTCAGGACTGACCCAGGAAACAGAATATTTGAGGCCTCTTAAGAGGAAGGAGTTGACCAGAAGTCTGATGACAAGTTCTTGGCTTGGCTACTCAGTGTGTAAGACTTTGTACAATCTAATTCTGAAAGCTTCTTTTATAAAGTTCTAGAAACCTTCTCCTCTTCCTCCTCCTCTTCTTTTTCTTCTTCTTTTCTTCCTCCTCCTCCTCTTCTTCTTCCTCCTCTCTTCTTTCCTTTGAGATAATGTTTCATTATGAAGCCTGGGTTGGCCTTGAACTGCCAATGCTTTGAGTACTGAGATTACAGTGCCACTATACCCAGTTATAAAGCAAACTTTACAATGTCTATACAGTCAATTACCACTCCTAGTGTACTTATAAAAAGCACCAGGTCAAATTAAAGAAAACTAGACTTATTTTGTAAACAAAAAACTTCTTAATTTGATAATTTTTTGAGGAAAATGAGGGTGATTCTAGAGAGAAATTTTATGTTTCAATGGAAGTCTATAGTTAACCAAATTCCAGTATTGTTTCTGTTTATTTTACTTTTCTTCTTCCTTATAAATTGGATCCTATCATCTTGCACATTTTGTCAGAAATTAATACTCTCATACTCCCAGGTCCCTCCCTCCAGCCACCCTAGTCAGAACTAAATCTTTTCAGCCCTAGCTCTGCAAGCTGAAGTTGGATGATGTGATAGAATTTCAGAGGACTTGTCACCTCAGCAGCGTGAGACACTCAGAACATCGAGGATACCTGCATCTCCACATTGTCATCCTGCAAACAATCACAACTGTAACATTTTTTCCCTGCCATCCTCACTCCAAACATTTTCATAGCAAATTCTAGAATCATCTTCACTGGCTTTCCTCTGTACTCATCTAGTGGATCCAGTTTGTGCAACCTTTGTTTTTGTTTCCCTTTGCAGCTGCTGTATCTCAGAACGTCATCAGTCTCTCTTCATAGCAATAACCCTAGAAACACCCACTGCTGCCGCTGCCTCCTCTTCCTCCTTTTTGGTACAACTTCTAAAATGATTTCAAATAGGCAAAATAAGAGAATCTGCTTGGACTTGAGAAAAATAGAAGTTTAAAATAAAAATAAGTGGGCTAAAGGTGAGGCATAAAACATTTTGTTAAATAGTTTGCCTGTTGAGTTTGTGTGTGTGTGTGTGTCCGTGTGTGTGTCCGCACATGTGTGTGTGTGTGCACACATGTGAGTGCAGGTGCACATGTCTGTGTATGCATGTAGAAGCCAGAGGTTGGCATTGAAGATCTTTCATTAGTACTCTCCATCTTTTTTTTTTTTTTTTTTT